ATTTCAACTTAAATGCGAACCATGAAAACGTAGAGTACAATGTAAGATTTTATTGAATATTAAAACTGATCATATTTTGTCTTTTTTTATTCTGGTCTGAGAGCATATAATTCAAGGTGTGGTTTATCTGGTTTTTAAATTATCTCTCTTGGAACTGTTTTGCCTTCCAGACTCAAGGTCGTGAATCAATTGCAGCCAAACTTGTTGCTAATCTTATAACAGAGGCAGGTGCCAATCGTGTTCTTGCTTGTGACCTCCATTCTGGACAGTCAATGGGCTACTTTGATATACCAGTTGATCACGTGTACTGTGAGGTATTTAATACTTAACTCGCTTCTTCCTTTCGTTACGCTGGGTTTTTAATAGCATTAATTTTGTATATGGACACCAGCCTGTGATTCTAGATTATCTTGCCAGCAAGACAATTTCTTACAATGATCTGGTTGTGGTCTCTCCTGATGTTGGTGGTGTGGCAAGAGCTCGTGCTTTTGCCAAAAAGTTATCTGATGCTCCTTTAGCAATTGTGGACAAAAGGCGCCAAGCACACAACGTTGCTGAGGTAAACACCCACAGAATCCTTCTCCCGTCCTCATAGTCTTGGTGGTCTATTCGAAATTTGGATAAGAATGTAGTTGTTTACATTTGAATCACTAATAATAATCTTAAGAAGCTTTAGAAGGCTGTCATTTTTTAGATGCTTATAATGCAGAACAGAAAATAATCAAGATTTAGTTTTTAGGTTGGCAAATCGGCACAATGGATTCTTTCTTCTAAAATTTGATGTGGCGGTTTTCGGGTCCTTGGTGATTGATATCCAGACCAAGTATTAAATATCCTTTCAAAGTTCTATAAGGGCATTCTCAGATTTAAAGACTCTGCGTATTACTTCTATGACATCCCAATACCAATGATTGTCATTTACCTTGCAGGTGATGAACCTTATTGGTGACGTTAAAGGAAAAGTTGCTGTCATGGTGGATGACATGATTGACACTGCCGGTAAGAAGTCATGGATTCATTTGGATGTTATGTTGTTTAATAGTTTCTTTTAGTATGCAATGTTTGAAAATGTTTAAAACATAACTAGAAAGAACACAGATCAAAACTAGGCATTGAAGTTTCCTGAAGAATGAAGTAAAAAAAAAACGTTTTTGTATATTTTTGACCTAGAATGAATGGCCCAAGTCCACCGCTAGTAGATATTGTCCTTTTTGGGCTTCCCCTCAAGGTTTTAAAACGCGTCTATTAGAGAAAGGTTTCCACACCCTTATAAAGAATGTTTCGTTCTCCTCCCCAACCGATGTGGGATCTCACAACCCATCCCCCTCTGGGGCCCAGCGTCCTCTCTAGCACTCGTTCCCTTCTCTAATCGATGTGGATCCCCTCAATCCCCACCCCCTTTGAGGTTAAGCCTCAAACGGGGTGGACACGAGGCGGTGTGCCAGCAAGGACCCTGGACCTCCCAATCCACCCCCTTCGAGGTCCAACGTCCTTGCTGGCACACCGCCTTGTATCCCCCCCTTCGGGGCTCAGCCTCCTCATTCGCACATCTTTCGGTGTTTGGCTCTGATACCATTTGTAATGGCTCAAGCCCATCGCTAGCAGATATTGTTCTTTTTAGGCTTTTTCTTTTGGCTCCCCTCAAAGTTTTTGTCTACTAGGGAGAGGTTTCCACAGTTTTATAAAGAATGTTTCATTCCTCCCCAACCCCAACCGACGTGGGATCTCACATAGAACTTCCATGAAAAATGCTTGGTCCCATGAACCTTTCTATCTGGTTGAAGTTTGAAGTTCTCTCTTGATTCAGAAAAGTTGTCTATACCTTGTATATATCTTTTGTATTTTTGGTTTTCTGGGTGCAGGGACTATTTCAAAAGGTGCAGCTCTTCTACATCAAGAGGGTGCCAGAGAAGTTTATGCTTGCTGCACTCATGCTGTATTTAGGTAATAGTCTCTATGCTTTGGCTTTCTATAAAGTTTTGGGCTTCATATTTTTAATTATAACAACTTAGTCCTGCTCTTAGAAATGTAATGGTTAAAGCTTGAGGAAAAATGTTAAAAACAATACAACCTAGGCATTAAATATGGGTAAGTCAATGAAGCTAACAGAAGTTAATACAGTCCAAAATTAAAGGTGGTTCAATTATTCGTCCATTCAAATGACTCGATTACAATAAATTTCTTAACATTGGGAACTTTAGGTTATCATTACATTTTTCTAACACAGACTAAATCATTACAAAAAGCATCTTCAAGTTCAAACATGTTACAGAAGCAAAAGTACAAAGATTAAAAATATATTTTAACCTTAAAACTTTGATCTAAAGTTCTTTTATGTCCAGAATTTGGATGATCCTAAACGGAAAACTTTCTTCTTAACCTAAGTCCACCGTTATCAGATATTGTTCTCTTTGGAATTTTCCTTTTGGATTTCCCCTCAACGTTATCAGAATTTGGATTTCCACTCATTCCCTTCTCCAATCGATGTGGGACCACCCTCAATTCACTCCCCTTCGGGGCCCAGCATCCTTGTTGACACACCACCTCATGTCTACCCCCTTTGGGGTTTAGTCTCCTCACTAACTCATTACCCGGTATCTGGCTCTGATACCACTTGTAACAGCCCAAGTCCACCGTAAACAGATATTGTCCTGTTTGGACTTTCGTTTAAGGTTTTTAAAACGCGTATGTTAAGGAGAGTTTTTCACACTCTTATAAAGAATGTTACGTTCTCCTCCCCAATAGATGTGGGATCTCACATATACCCAAATGTCATTTCACTTTTTTGAAATATAAATTAGTTTCGAAACTGTTTGATTTTTCCACTTCTTTTATGTTCATCACCCTGCAGCCCCCCGGCGATCGAGAGGTTATCGAGCGGCCTATTTCAAGAGGTGATAGTTACAAACACGATCCCAGCAATAACAGAGAACTACTTCCCTCAGTTGACTGTTCTTTCAGTAGCAAATCTGTTGGGTGAAACCATTTGGCGAGTTCACGACGATTGCTCTGTAAGTAGCATTTTTAAATAACTCCAAATTGAAGTAATCCTTAGAACACAGCCTTCTGAAACAATTCTAAAGGATTCTTACTGCTTTTGTTTTGTTAGTTTGATATTCTTAGATCATCCATTCTTAATTATTCCTCCTACTTCGCTATTACAATAATTTCTTTTAGTAATTCCCTCTGGGAGTTTCACTCTGACTTTATAAAATTTTGTAATTTTACATTCATAACAATTTCATATCTTCATAGAATATAGTATAATGTTTCATTTTTTTGGTACATCATATGTGATGTATTATTTTGGGTTCTTTCCAAAAAAATCAAGGAAAAGCAGTAATACACCTGGTTATATTGAAATATTTAATTTGTCTTCTATTTTGGAAATTTAATATTTTTCATAATTTTTTTTTTCTTTGAATTCTGAGTTTGATCCTTGTGCACCTAACATCAATGATTTCATGTCATATAAATATGCTAGACACGACTTCTTTAATAACTCAATTCTAGGACGTATATGGACCTTGACAAGACAATTCACTACTAGGAATTGGTTAGCGACTCTTTCGTAATCCCATATATTTATAATCACGTGGGTGCGATTCCTGTGTGATGTCGGCTAACTATCATCATATTGTGTGAACTCCTGTCCCTCGAAATATGTTTATTACTAGAGAATAGTTAAGAATCGATTAAACAATCCTCACGTAATAACATGATGACACTAATGACAATTAGGGAGCAATCCTGCAACACAATATACTAATTAGGGAGCAACTCTACAATACAATATAGCAATTAGGGTTCAACCCAACAATACGATACAACAAGTAGGGAGTGACCCTATAATATGATAAAATAATTAAGGCACGACTTTAAAATACAACATAACAATTAGATTGCAAACCTACAATTCAATATGACAACTAGGATTCGATCTTACAATATGATATGACAATTAGGGCTCGACCATACAATACAATATAACAATTAGGCCGTAAACCTACAATTTGATAGAACAATTAAGACTCGACCCTACAATACGATATAATAATTAGGGTACAAATCTACACTTCGAAATAACAATTAGGTGCTACCCTATTAGAATCCGCAAATACCGGGAGTGACCCAATATTAAAAAAAAATTAGAAATGTAGAAATTAAATAGAAATTAAAATCAAAACTTAAAATAAAAAATTAGAAAGGTAGAGATTAAATAGAAATTAAAATCAAAACTTAAAATAAAAAAGTGAGATTTAAAACATAAACAGAAACTAAATTCAAAATTAAAGAAATTTAGTAAAAATGTTTTTTTTTTCCTAAATTAAACTATTTATTTGAAATTAAAAGCTGAAGGACCGAGATGCAATAAGTACAGAAGTTAGGGGCAAAAGAATAATATATTGAAATATTTTAAATTTCAAAACTAATTAGGGTTATTAGGGTTTTGGATTGGGAGTCTATAAAAACCCCTCTTTCTCTCATTCATTCATCGCTTCAAATTCCACCTAGGGTTTCCGTTTTGCACTGCATCGTTCTTCTGCCGCATTATCAATTTGTTTTTCGTTTCAAGAAATTGTTTTCTTCAATCGTCTTCTTTTCTTTGATACTGAAGCTGTGATGAAAATCTTCTGTGCTATAGCCGGCCTCTCACGAGCGGTCGTCGGTGATGGCTACACAACCCTCTAAGAAGTTCTGAGCTTTGTTTATTTTACATTTGATTTCGCTAAGAATGTTTCTTCTGCGGTTTCTGTGGCTGTTTTTGTTTGAATTCGTTTCGGTTTTCTGATACTGGAAATGCGAGGTGACGATAGAAATTCATGTCTGTCAATCCACTGACTAATTACAGTGTGATGTTAATGTGAATCCCGACAGGTTCCGATCGCATTTGAATCTTCTCATCTGTTTTCCTTTCTACATTTTTTTTTTTTAACTCATTTTCGTTGGATTTCTTATGAACTATGGTTTAGAAAATTATTATACTTGAATTGGTTTTCTGGATTGGGATGACTGATTTTCGGGCATATGATGAATCTCATATAATCAAATGGGTAATTTGCGTCTGAAGCATTCATTGATGCTATTTCACCTTGGAGAACTGATGCCCCTTTCATGTTTGTTTAGAATCTCCATCAATCAAAAGATTTGAAATTAATTTCTAAGCAATACTTATTTAATAGTAAATGGGGTTTCGACCATATTTGAACATTGATTGGAAATTTGTTTATAAATGTTGCATTTATTCTTAAATCTTGAATTGGAACTGTGTAGGTTCTTAATTTCCGCTCTTGAAGTTGAATTGGAATTTTAGTATGTTGGCCATAAAACCTTCAAAAATAACTTGGTTTTAAATTTTTGATATAAATGTAATGTTTGTAATATTTTAGTTATTAAAAAGAATATTGGGTTATCTAACTCAATTTTCATCTGATTTAATGTCTAAAAGCTTGTATTTTAATTCAATTTCAATGGTGTTAACAAGATCTCATATTCAATGGTTCAATGATCCAATTTTTGGATTTAAAAGAAATTGGAATGAAATGAGAGCTGTTTTTTTTACCTGGGAAGTTTTCAATTGAAGGATCTTCTAGACCACATATCTCGGCCATTGATTCTTAGCGACTTTACAATGGTTCGATGTTGTCTACTTTGAGCATAGTTTTGTTTTTGGGCTTTCCCAAAAGGTTTTATTCTAATGGAGATAGTATTCTTTTCTTATAAATTAACCAATGTGGGACACTCACTCCCAATAGTCCTCGACATAACCATTGAAGTAATTCCGTCTAAAAATGGTCTCAAGGGTTTGATCAAGGACTGGATTCGAAGAGGCTCGAACAACAAAGACTAAATCAGTTATATACAAATAACCCAAGCCTCTCAGTACAAGAGTTAAAGGATAGGCAAAATAGTTGGAATCTTATTATGTAAGTAAAATTTTGTTACAAAATTGTTAATAATTGTAGAAAAACAACACCAATGAAGTTTGAACACTATATATTAGCTTGATGAGGACATTATTTGAAGGGAACAAACCAAGCAGTGGAAATTTTGGTTGGAAATTTTGGTTGTTGTTGTTGCTGCTGCTAGGAGTCTAAGTCATACTCCCCATGTTCATCAGCAAAAATCTCAGGATGAATTGCAGCAGTGTTAGTGTAATTCAGAGCTCTGTGCAGTTTCCTATGGTCCAAAACTTCAACCTCAACTTGGAACACAGAACTCACAGGCCTATGATCCGACATCCTTATGTCTGCGTTCTTATAACACATCTGCTTTATCCCTTTTCCCATCCATAATATCCGATCACACCTGTTCATTTACAAACAATCCTCTAATCAGTCAATCAAACTTGGTAGGTTATACCTCCTTCTACACCTTAATGGAGGGTTCTATCTATGAACTTACCATGCTGGAGACCTTTTCTTCTCTCCTTCTTTCGGGGTTTCGCCGATGTATCTATCCAAGTTGAATTCGTATTTATACGTTGGTGGGAAGTCTAATACCCCTTCTCTCCATCCATCAAATACGTGCCCTGTGTGCAGCTCTCTCGTAAGCTGCCACAATACATCCATTCATTACTTTCCTTAATCCAGCAACATCTTAAGTGATGCTGAAACATATAGAACTTGATATCTATCTGTGGTTCGTTCTAGACAGACACGTTTTTTCGTTAAGAGCTTTTTGAATTTTAGTCAAGTTAGTCACCTGATCATAGTTGCTGAGTTCCTCCCAGTTTTTTTGAGCTACAAGCCTCCTTACAACCGACTCCGACGTATTCAGACGATAATTCAAATCGCCAAACCAGAATACTTGACTGCTTGTAAAAACATTTCGTCACAATCATACTCCAAATGATATCAGGCTAACAAAATTAAGACACAGAACGAGCAAAAATAGTCTCTCGATCCTTGAAATGCTCGGTTAGTATGAACAAAAATAGCAGACAGATTACTCGACAGCTCTCCGATTCGATATGAATTTTTTCCAGTTTCCAAAATCAATGGTTAAACGCACATGTTATGAATGGTCAAGCAAAGCATGTTTAAAGATTAGAGTGCTTACTCATGCGAAGGTATTGTCTGTGGCTGTCCTGAATCAAACACGGACGAAAAACGTGTTCGTCGTATGATTTCGTTCACGTCTGCATTGCGCTTGTGTTCTTTTCCATCCTTCTGACCCGAGGTCAAATGAGAACAAACGAAACATAACCGCGACTGATAAAGAGTCATACTAACAGAAACAGACCCCTGCATTCAAATTGACAAACAACATGAGCCTTACTAACAGCAACACTGTAAGCGTATGAACAAGAAAAGACTTCCATTGTTCATGGTTCGATATTCTGGTGTCCTAGATGTATAAGAGTATTACCTTGTTTCCCATGTAGCCCATAAGACCAACACCAACCGGAGACACTTTCAAATTGTTAACATGTCTCCGTAATCTCTTACGAACCCAAATCGACACATATATTCCTACCATCTGCTTGCTGACAATTCTCACGTATTTCGGATAAGATTTTGTGCTCTCCATTGGATCCCCGTCGACTTCTTGTTCTATAAGTTCTTCTGGGAAACCATCTTCTTCTTCAACAGAAATGTCAGATACATCAGAAAGGTTGTCCAGGACTTCGGAAGTTTCCTGTGTCGCTTTCCAGGCCGAGATCAGATTCCCAGAACTACAGAATGTCCTCTTCAACCCGTTTCCGTTTATCGAAAAGCTCTGAGGAGGGAATATTAGAGGATTCTCCAAGCAACGGAAGCCAATTCTAGCAGAACTGCTAACTACTCGACGCAACTTCGTATTAGAAGAAACAACTTGAGGGGTTGCATCCAATGAATGTTCAGGCCAGTCTAGTCTTTGGTCACAGTCAATGCCATAGATTCTACTTAACTGAAAATTTGAGTTCACTCGGTTTAATTTCTTGAGCGGATGTTGATCCAGTTCAAACCCGACATTCCCAGAAAATTCATCGTCGATCAGTTTCAACTGTTCATCATTAACCCCATCTGCAAGTACATCAGCTACCGACGAAGTCCTCAATACAGGAGACGGTGGGGCGCTATAGCTTTTATGTTTGTTCTCGGGTTCGGAAGACTTGTTCAGCGTTCTTCGAATGATTGCCTCCCATTTCGGAATTGGTTTGTTATCTTCTGCTCCCAGGACATTCCCAGCATTCAAAGGGACTACTTCTTGGAAACTGCAAGCATCAAATTTGACAAAGCTTTTATCAACATCACAAGATATGTACTAATGGAACTATGAGCATAAGGACCTTCACTCACCCTATAATATAGATATCTCCTGGGTCTTCTGTACATAGCCAGTCATCTATCTCAAGGCTTTCATCTGGAACTCGTCCCGCCACGTTCCATGTAGCTATCGTCACCCTACATAAATCATATTTCCAGAAATCAGTGTGAATGAAAGTAACGTCTCCGGGATCGTGATTCAAATAGTCGTCGTAGTTCACAGCCGAACCTCAGATCTTTCGTGTTTATGTACTGAACTCTAAGAGTTTCCGATTTCCCTCGTCGGTGCCTTAACTGGTTGCTACTAGGAATGTCTGGATCATTCAAATAAGTAACCATTAACTTTTGATAATCTTGACATATAAATGCAGGTTGAAACAATTCCTTGAAAAACAAGTCCATAATAACAAACCCATATTCAGCATTCCATTCATAAGGAACCTTTGGCCTATATAATCCTAGCTAAAATGCCCTCTAGAACAGACTGAGCATTGGCAATATTCGATCCACAGTCAAGAGTTCGGAAAATTTTAGACGAATTCCAGCTTAATTAGAACACGATCCTCCCGGAAGAACTTTAATAGTGAGGGTGAGATATGATTATTATCAAATACTAAACTTGTAACGACCCAAGCTCACAACCAGTAGATATTGTCCTCTTTAGATTTTCCCTTTCGAGCTTCCCTTAAAGGTTTCCACACCGTTATAAAGAATGTTTCGTTCTCCTCCCCAATTGACGGGGGGATCTCACAAAACTTATAGACGAGGAAGTGGGTGATTTCTAAAAACATCAGAATACTGACATGGAGGTAGTACCTGAAATTCGATTTGAACACGTCGATAAGTTCCTTTGAGCTCTACTAGCACGATCCTCTTGATTATGCGTTCTTTCGTTCTTGAGAGAGCAAACTGAAAGGAAATTGTGTAAAAAAACGGTGAAATCCAAGAAAACGAAACGAAAATAGACAATTTTGGCTGTTGGATTGGCACCAAGAGCAGTAACCCAATGACACATACCATCATCTTCACTCTCAGTTTCAGTATCAACTTCATCCTCACTAAAATCATACACCTTGGGCTTGATATTCAACCATTTCTTCATCACAATGGAAGGCCAAAAAGCCTGGAAAGGATTGCAAGATGAAGTTGGAATCCATCCTTGATGAACACAACAAGCTGTTCAAAAAGTGAAAGTACATGAATTCGTCGAAACATACCTCGGAGCGTTTTCCTCTCCTCGTCCGCATAGCAACGGAATTCAACAGAAGATTGATGAAATGCTTAAAACGCTGCAGCAACGGAATTCAACGTCGATTTCTGGGAGGCGGGCGATTGTTTAATATGTGGCTTGTCAAAAATCAGGAGAACTACAAAACCAGGTTTGTGTTAGAAATCTATGTCGCCATTTATATGGAAGAAGAGCCAAATTGGGACCAAATAGGAAAGGACAGAACGTGTAGAAGCCATCCACAAACCCAACTTGTACAAAGAATGATCAATGGTCCATCTCCACACGTTCATATTGTTCAATATATTTTTATATTGGAAAAGTAAACAAGCTGAAAGCGAGATCCATTAAAATAAAATACAATCATTTTCATCATAAGAAATTTGCAGCACTTGAAGTAATTTATGGTACACTTAAAAGATAAACCACCGTCTAAACAAAGAAGCCCGTCTATTAGAGGTTTTCACACCCTTATAAGAAATGTTTCGTTTCCCTCTCTAACCGATGTGGGAGGGGGTGGACCCAGCATCCTCGCTGACACACCGTCCGGTATCTGCCTTTGATACCATTTATAACAGCCCAAGCCCACCGCTAGCAAATATTATCCTCTTTGGGCTTTCCCTTTCAAGCTTCCTCTCAAGATTTTTAAAATAGGTCTACTAGGAAAGAATTTCACACCCTTATAAGGAATATTTCATTCTCCTCTCCAACCGATATGGGATCTCACAATCCACACCCCCTTAGAGACCCAGCATCCTCGATGACCCACCGCTAGCAAATATTATCCTCTTTGGGCTTTCCCTTTTGAGCTTCCCTCAAAATTTTTAAAATACGTCTACTAGGAAAGGTTTCCATACCCTTATAAGAAATATTTCGTTCTCCTCTCCAACCGATGTGGGATCTCACAATCCACACCTCCTTGGAGACCCAACGTCCTCGCTGACCCACCGCTAGCAAATATTATCCTCTTTGGGCTTTCCCTTTTGAGCTTCCCCTCAATATTTTTAAAATACGTTCACTAGGAAAGCTTTCCACACCCTTATAAGAACGTTCTCCACCCCAACGTCCTCACTGACCCACCACCCAGTGTCTACCTCTAATACCATTTGTAACAGCTCAAGTCCACCACTAGCAAATATTGTCCTATTTGGGCTTTCCCTTTCAAGCTTCCCCTTAAGATTTTTAAAACAGGAGTGTTTCGTTCCCCTCTCCAACCGATGTGGGATCTCACCAAAGGTTTATTCCCTTCACAAAATTACAAAATCACCACAACAAAGTGATCAGATCCAAATCAAACTGTTCAAATCACAAAAAAAACAAATCAACCCAGTTAATCATGAAGAATGTTGGATCAAGAACACTAATCAAAATCTTCCAAAATTTCATCCATAAAAGAAGAATCAAGAACACTGAACTGGGAATGCCCTGTAAACCAAATTCCCCCACCAGCCTGCATTTTCTTTTTCCTCAAATCCAAAGCTCCATATGATAGAAACCCAACAATAGCAGACTTACCCCACCACAAACCAAACACCCAAATAGATCAGACCACATTAACCCAAACTCCAGACGCAAACACAGATTAAGACCTAGCCATTACCATATAAAGAATAAATTAAATTAGCATACCCATCAACGCCAAGATTTCCAGTGAGCCCACCTCAGGCAAAGTCGGCAGTAACATGAAAACAGACAAATCGTCGAAGGATGCTCCAGCCTAGAGTTGACATCATAATATAAAATCAAGTCAAACAAAGCGAACTAATCGGTTAAGTTAATATCCTTTTTACGGCGAAATCCAAGACTCTCAGTTCAAGTTCGCAGCATCGCTTACCGTAATCAAATAGTTAGGCGGATTTGTAGGGCTACGAAGAACATCAATGGCGGATTGAAGGCCCCACAGCAATGGGACTCAGATCGCACTATGTGTGACTGAGAAAACCCCAAAACTTTCTCCGATTTTGGGCGTTGAATTCAAGAGGAGAGAATCTTGGCCATGCAATTAAAATAAACGAAATTAATTAAGAAAAAAGAAGAGACGGATTAGATACAGTAATGACCATGATCGTCGTCATTGGAAGTGGGCCAATTTGCGAGGGTCGGTGGATTGGGGCATCGTTCACCACTGGAGAAACCCCATTTTTGTTCTAGTGGTCGATTGTTGACTCGAGCTCGGAAATTTTGAATTTAGTTTCCATTGACGTAATTGCTTATGGTTTGTAATTTAGTGGATAAAATAACAATTAAAGTAAAAAAATAGGGATGAATTACGAGAATTGGAGCTCCTCCGAGTCAAAGAGAGAGACAATTTCGACCTTGAACTATTTTATCTGCAGGGTTAGGACTAAACCTCGAACTATGAGGGGATTCTCTGTTTAAACGGAGAATGAGGAAATGAGTGGAGAACATTTTTTCTCTTTAGATAAATGAGGTCGGGGACCGAGACAATGAATATTATCCTCATCCTCTGTCCCATTTTATATAATATGGAGAAATCTCTCTCCGCTCAAGGATAGAGACCGAGAATATAATCTTCATCCCCTGTCTCATTTTATCTATTAGGGAGAAATCTCTGTCCACTTAAGAATAGAGACAAGGAATATAATCATCATCCCCTGTCCCGTTTTATCTATTAGGAAAAAATCTCTCTCCGCTTGGGGACAGACAGGGAATATAATCTTCATCCCCTGTCCCGTTTTATCTACTAGGGAAAAATCTCTCTCCGCTTGGGGAGAGACAGGGAATATAATCTTCATCCCCTGTCCCATTTTATCTATTAGGGAAAAATCTCTCTCCACTTGGGGACAGACATGGAATATAATCTTCATCCACTGTCCCGTTTTATTTACTAAGGAAAAATCTCTCTCCGCTTAGGGACAGACAGGGAATATAATCCTCATCCCTTGTCCCGTTTTATCTATTAGGAAATAATCTCTCTCTGCTCCCTCCCTCCCTCGTTCATTGTTTAAATAGAGGTTTCTTCCCATTTGAGGTGGGTCCTCGTGGACCTCCGACTCCATGGAGTAAACAAATATCTCCACATGCACAATTGAGAGAATCAAACCATTAATATTTTGATCGAATATACAAGCCTTGCCCATTTAATATATACATAGATCGACTGTTAAACCCGACTTTCCACATTATTTCATATCGATCAAAACCTTAAACCCTAAGAACAGGATTGAAATTATGGTTCGGTGCATTGACCCCATGCATCATAGCGAGTCAAAGGGGTGAATGATTCTAAATACAAAAGGAGGACTAGGGTTTGGCTTGTGTTTCAAGATGAATGTTTTCTTGTGATTCATGATGATGATTTTTTTTTTTTTTGTGACATTTATTTTTTAATTTTTTTAATGCACAATAATGTCACATATTCCTTTTTTTTTAATCATATGTTAAAATTTAATATTCTTTGAAGCAATAATTGTGCATGTCATATTAATTGATTTAATATATTTCCCTAAAAAATTAAATATTTAACAAATAAAGAATTCTTATTTATTTAATATTTCCTGTGAAAAAAATTATTTTCCAATAAATAATTTAATTTTAAATTCTATTGCTTACAGCTAATTAAAGTTAAATTAATCATAAGATTATAATTAATCACTATCATATAAGACAAATTTGTATCAATTACTGTAATTAATCAAAATTGATTTATTTACTGAGGTTAAATATAATTTAACCTCTTTTAACCTAAAGAAACTTTTTTGCTCTAATTTAAGTGGTCCTCTTATCTTAAAAGCACGCCGCATATTTGACAAATCTCGACCATATATCACATTATAATGAACCTCGACCACTCTCTTTTTGTTATTATTTTTATTATTATAGCTATGGTCCTTCCCGCTCTTAATTGACGTGAAATTCTCGATCGAAACTCTAACGATCGTTTTGAAAAGACCCAATTGGCTATGATAAAGAAACTACGTGGAAATGGGTGAAAACGTCCCAATTTAGGTGAGGCCAACTAGTACTTGAGCTTGAGTATTAACATATGGATTTAATTTATGGAATAAGATAGAATATAATCTTTTTAATGACAAGTTGTAGAAAAATGTTCGGGCTATCAAATCAATTCTCTCATTTTCTACTTTTTTTTTTCTTTTTTTCATCTTTATGTTATAGATCATGTAACGTAATTCGATATTTGATGGCCTCGACATTTTCTGCAGCATGGTCACGTTACCTACTTGTCTAGAAATGCCTCTAAGAGTGAAGACTATTTCCACAAATCAACACGGGTCTTTTCAGTATGTTTTGTCCTCACTCACATGTTTTTTAAGAAACTTCTCGTGAGGTCACCCAGCATAACATTGCTCAAACCTAAGCATAGACATCCTGGTTAGTATATGCATGAAAATTATTGATACCACGTTTTAAAAAAATCTTTGAAGGTTCAAAAATTATATTAATACCCTTAATATTAGCTTATAAACCAGAACAATTTGTCTACCGCTCATAGATCTACTCGTTCTTTAATTTCATCAATACCCATTTTATTTTTGGGTAAATTAAAAAAAAAACATTAAAAAGAGAGTGGTGCTTACGTGGCCATTCATGCATTTGGAAAAACATATTATTTGTACGCACAATCTTTAATTTTCTCAAACTATATTTGAAATAACTTTTTCTAATAATACTGTCACAACCACTTTTGCATAGAAATATTAATTAAATATTTTTTTTTTCACAATTTTCAAAATAAGTATTTCCATTATATAATTAAACTTAAATTAATAAAAATTTGCACTCAATTTTCAATTTTTTTAAAATAAAGTACAAAATTTATAACTATTTTTACTAATTTAATATATAATTACTCGAAAAATAGTATTTTTCATTATAAAGGTTTTCTTTTATTTATCTCGAACACCACTTTTATATAAAGCAGTACGGTCGAGAACAGAGTTAAATTAATACTATTATTATAATTCTTACTCTAAAAAATAATAAATATTTTTACTTAGCTTAATTAGCTCAGTCAAATTGAGGTAGAAAAAATTAATATTTTTCTTTTTTTTAATCTTCTTGGCCTTTTGGCATTCATTTTATTTTTTACATGAAAATGGATTTATTTATTAGTTGACTTGTTAATTGAAACTCCATTTTGAAGAAGGATATTAATCTAATTATTTATTTAACTTTATAATTCAATTGGATTAGCTTAATATTTAAATATTAAAATAAATAAATAAAAGCTAGAAAAGTTTAAGCACTTTCTATAAAAATAGTATATAAAAATATATAGTGGTAAAGATTCTTTTTTTCCTTTTTTTGGTGGGAAAATAATGGAAAAATATTCAATATCTACAAAATTAGGATTTAGATGTGACACTTATTATTCTAATTTAGTGGAGAAAAAAAAAGTGACTTTTTTTAGTATAAATATATAAAAATAAATAATAAAAAAGCGAAAAAAAAATTAGGGTAAAATAGTAGAACAAAACCGAATTTAATTTCATTTCTAAAATATTATAAATATTTCTAGCTAATTAATTCTTATGGATGACTATTTTAGAGATTTTAACCAAATAAATATAACCCATTATAATTTAGACGTTATATTTTAATTATTTTTATTTATTTATTTTTAGGTAATATAATATATATATAATTATAATTATAATGTGGGTTAATATGATATTTATTAGGTTGAAAATATCCCAAACCATTTTCACTCTAAAATATCTAAATAAGAATCATTTATCCAAAATGTTTTTTTTTTTTTTTAAAAAAAAAATAATTTTTCCAAAAGAGAATGGCCAAATCATTTCTCAAATCTACTTTTAAAAAAAGAATAATAAGGAAATAATAATTAAATAAATCAAAACGTTTATTAATTATTTTTCTTGTAAAGTAAAATCTCTACCTACCTTATTTAACTATTAAATATTAAAAAAATAGTATAAATATAATTTAATTCTAATACAATGTCAAATAATTTATTATACCTTTTTATTTATTTATTTATATTTGTTTTAGTGTATTCTTTAATGTTACATATTTTAAAAAAATATTTTAGCTTAATTTTATAAATAAGAAGAAATTAAAAAAAAAAAAAAAAAGGGATAAGGGGGAAAATAAAATGAATATTGGAAATTGGAAGCATAATATAAAATGATATTATATAGAAGAATAAAAAAGAAATAGGAAGGCATAGTACAAAAAGGAGGCCAGTGTGACAACAGCTGTGAGTCACCAACAAAAGTTGACTTTTTGTGAGGACATAAAATAAGTCCCTCTTCCCCCATTGGACTGTTCTTTCTTTAAATGAACCGCCATACACTGCATGCCAATTCCTTACCCATCACCCAATCATTTTCTCTCTCTATCTTTCTCTCTCCTCCCACTCTGAAGTTATTGCCAAAAAATTATGTCCACCACTTTAATTTTGGCCGATTTTCTTTTATTTTAATTTTAGTATTTTTTTTTTTTACTGCTTTTCGTAAAAATTATGAATTCACAAATGCCTAACTTGTTTTTACCTAACCAAATATTTTCAGGCATCTCATTATTACAAAACAGTAACTTTTAATGGACAAGTTAAAAAAAGTTGACTATAAAAAGTTACCTTTTTACTCATTCCAGTGGGAATAAAGCCCATAGAAAAGGTATTAAATGGTTGGGCCAAAATTAATAAATTAATAAATAACGAGTCGGGTTTTTAGGGAGAGCTTTCATATTGTTGTAAGGAGTATTTCATTCCCCTCTCCAACCAACGTGGTATCTCAAATTTGGGAGAGCTTCCACACTATTATAAGGAATATTTCGTTCCCTCCTCAACTGATGTGGGATCTCACAATCCGGGAGAGCTTCCACACCGTTGTAAGGAATATTTCGTTCACCTCTCCAACTGATATGAGATCTCACGATCTACCCTCCAATATTATCATTTATGGGTTTTCGCTTCTGTACACCCATTCCACACTGTTATAATAAATGTTTCGTTCCCCTCTCAAATTGACGTAGGATCTCATAATTCATCCCCCGATATTGTCCTCTATGAGCTTTCCCTCAAAGTTTAAAATGCACCCACTAAGAAGAGATTTCCACAAAGAAATGCTTTGTTTCCTTCTCAAACCAATGTGAGATTTCACAATCCACCTCCTTAGAGACCCAACGTTCTCGTTAACACATTGCCTGATATC